GAAAGAGGTGGCTTTACAATTTCTCTGACTGCATTATGGGCTACTTTAGTTGATAGGATCTGGCTTCTGAGGCCTGAGAGATCCTCATCCAACTTTTCATTTTGGGCAAAATGGACCAGCGTTGCATTCCACTGTTTTACTGCTTAAAGCATATTTATTTTGTATTTATTTGAACAGAGTTATGTCAGACTATTTTTATAGACTTGTTTAAATATTGTTACTGTGCTTGTATTTCTCCTGTTTTAAGAAGTTCTCTATTTGTTCTGTCACACAGCTGAGTCGTGGGGAGGGACGCTAAAGTGGTTTGCGTACCTTCCCTTTGGGGCTCGAGCTGCCTTTCCCACGTCTGGGGTAGTTGCTGGAGGACCTCAGCCCAGAGAAATTCTGTAGCAAGAAGCCATAGGAGAGAAGGGAGCTGGTGAGGAAGCAGTACCTTGGGAGGCGGAGGGGAGAGGGTGCACTGTGAGGCTCGCCTTATTTTGGAATTGCCTCTGTGTGTGGCTGAAAGGGTTTCAGGTGGACAGCTGAAGTTGGGAAGTAGAAGGTCTGTGTATGTTGGATGTCACAATGGCTAATTGAGAGCGATCTTGGGGAATCTTTAGGTAAGGGGGGAGGGAAGAAATCTCAGGGACTAAAGAAAACACAAGTTTCCAGAGAGATGGAAGGAAACTTGCACTTGGACACAAGCTGCTGCTGCAGTTGTGCTTGGAGGCTGAATCAGCAGACCCTGGTGCTGAGCCAGTGCTCTTCACATGCAAGCGGACACTGTGGAGAAGCATGTGAGAAATTGGAAAAGGATTTGCCAGCGCTCAGCAGCTGCTTTTTTGCTGACCGATTTTGGTGGCTCATGGAGAGTCTTCCCAGTGAGGCTCTGCCTTGGCTATCCAGTGCTGTCAGTAGTTAGCCACATGGAAATCTAGCCAATCTGGATTAGTGATATGATTTTTTTCCACCCCCCTCTTCTTGAGACTTGTCGTAAATTCTGCAGTGGCTCCTTCCTACCGGTGTGGCCTAATGGGAATATGAATATCAGAATGCAAAAATCAATGCAAAATGACAACCATCTTTGTAGCTGTAACCACAAATTGTTATAATGCAAATCTAACTTGGATTCTTCATGTAGGGAACAGTCTGCTAATAAAGGTCTGTCAAAGAGATACCATGTGTCTGTGTCTCTTTCTCAATGTGGTTTATTCATGCTGTTCGTGGCCAGACTTTTCCTGGGATGATTGTCACCAAGGACGCTGACGCTGGGAGTGACTTTCCCAGCGAGGACCTGGGAGAATGGAATTCTTAAAGGCAAAACCAGCAAACCTGAGCTCAAGGCTACTGGTGGTAGTGATGAGTCGGGGATATTCGAATACTGTTCACATCTCTGAGTGCTGCTGGATGTTTCTTATCTGTGCAGTATCCCTAACTCTCTGTTCAGAGAAGTGAGTTTCCCAGAAAAGCTAGAAACTCTGCAGTCCAGTTATGCCCTTGGAGGAACCTGGCTTTCAGGGTTTTAAAAAGAAAGGCTTTGTACAGTTTTCTTTCTTAAAAAAACAACCAGGAGCTATCCTTGAAGGTCATTTGCGAACCATAGCTGGTGTGGCCAGAGTGGCCTCTGATTTGCTTGACAAAACTTGCTGCGGGGGCCAGGCTGAGTTTGTTGGCTCCCTGTGACTCTGACTGTAATTCGAGGCTTTTATTCAGCTATAAATCTACTCGTAAAGTCTGGGTCCTTGTAATCTGAGCCACTGCTTGCCAGCGGTGTCAGCTTCGGTCAGCTGAGACGCTTATCGACACACTCTGGACCGCAGCGCTCCGGGCTGCTGGCAGCATCCCCTCTCACCGCTGCCCTCCCCTCCCCTTTAACTGTCTCACTCCTCGAGGTGGGGGGGAATGTTTCATGTGGTGAGCTGATAAAGATGTGTCTGAAGAAAAGGCTGGTCAGGTACCTCTGCCTTGAGACCAGGAGGGAATTGGCTGTGCTTGACCTAGTAGTAGAACTCATTTTTACTGCCGGAATCAGGCCAAAGGCTCGACACTGAAACGCTGCCCGGTAAACGGTGCCGTACAGGGACAGGGCACCCTGGTGCTGCAGAAGGAGGAGCGTTCCCTCCAGCTGTGTTCCCTCCAGCTTTTCTCCTTTTCTTCCTTTTTAAGGAAGAGAGATATTTTCAGTGCTTAATTACTAGGTTAGAGCTGAGACCGAATTACTTTCCAGACACGCAGCAAAAGCAGTCTCTTCTTAAACTCCCCCAACTTTCACCAACGCAGAGCGCCAGTGCTTTCCTCCCCTGGGGCTGGGGGTGTGATGAGGGATGCGTGAGGTGCCCGAGGAGTGCAGAGGTGTATCGGAGGCGTGGGGAGCAACGTCTCAATCTTGGCACTCGAACCTTCTCACCTCCAGGCTGCCGAGCTTACTGGGAAATGAGGAAACATGACCTTTTTCTCTGGGGAAGTAAAAATCCAGCCTGGGTTGGGTTAGCACCCCCTCCCTCTCTGGCAGGAGGATAATTTTTCAGTGTCATCATATTATGTCGCACACGTTGCTGTGGGTGAATGTTATCGGGAAGCTCTTGTCTGGTCCAAAGGGTTTAGGCAGGAACATCTGCTCCAGCTGTGCTACTTCTGGCAGCCAAGCTGCTGTCAAGAGAATGGGGTGGTTGCTTCTAGCTGAGCACCCGCTTCCTCTAAAACCATACCGTTAAAGAGAAGTTTCTGGTCTTTATATTCCAGTTAGTCACCAAATGCTTGGAACGCCCATTTAAAATAGTTAATGATTGCCCTCTTCTGGTTAGCCCCTATCACTGCTTCATTGGAAAACTTTTTTAGAAGAGCTCTCTTGTGAGCTTCGCATGAAGCCGAGCGGACTGAGTCAGCACTGAAGAAGCTTTCACGTGTCGCCTTGTCTTGCATCCCTCGTTTCCCCACTCCTCCCTGAATGGCACACAAGGTGAATTGGGCGTTCAATTTCTTTTTGCAAACCCCACTTCTGATCTCTTCAGAGCCCCTTCTCTCCAGCACCTCAGCAACAACGGGCATCGAGTTTGAAGATGACGTTTATTGCCTAAGGTGGTGTTAGTTACCCGCGCTCCCAGGCTGGTGGGTACCCGGAGGAGGTGATGGTGTGCCCGTGACCGCCGGCTCCATGTGTGGGCTGTTGCCTTTTTCAGTTTCTTTCACTTGACACAGCTCCTTCCAAAACAACAATAATGGTATAAGTGGAACTGTCAGTGCACCAGCAGGAGAGAATTTACTGAGTTAACAAGTATTTTTCTTTTCCTTTTTATCTGCTGATAAGCCTCAGAGGGCCCAGAGGAGCTACGGACGGGCTTCCCCGCGCCGCCCCAGTCGCGGAGGCTGCTCGCCGGGGTGCGGAGCTGCTGCTGGTGCCGTTTTCCTCCCTGGTGCTGTACAGAGCAAACCAGGCTCGCGCAGCAAGGCTGTGGGGGGGTCAGTGAGCATCCGCTGAAGGAAAGGGGGGAATTCAAACTTTTTGAGAAATAAGTAAAAAGCTGGTGCTACCCAGGCATTCAGAATTAGCATGCTTTGCATTCTGCTGTTGCCTCGGGCTGACGCAGGGGTGCGTGAATCTTTGCTCTGTTCACATCCACCTCCTTCAGCCTGATGACAAAGGTCCCCAAAATCTTTTCTGCGTTTAATTGGTTTCATTTTACTCCGCAGACGCGGTGTCCTGCCTCTCGGCCAGGCACAAAACCCTTCTCTGCTAACAGCAATTGCACCGGAGCACGTAAGGACAAACAGTTCTGGCTTATTCCCCTCCCCTTGCCTTTCTCTAAACTTCGTTCATCTTGCCCAGATTTAAATGTGACCCAGGGGCCTCTGCAACACCCTCGGTCAGCAGCTGCATGCTGTTAATTTGGGGAAGCTGGGCCCTGCCTCCAGGTGCTGCCCATTGTCTAATGGGGAGAGGAGACCTGTCCCTGTCCCACCGGGAGGGTCTCAACCTGTGCCCGTGTCCCTGTCTCCTGCTCCCCTGCACTTGGGGGGGACAGTTCTAAAAGAAGCATCTTGAAGTTGGGGGGTGTTAGGGGCTACGTCGGGTCCAGTCCGGCAGCTCAGAATGGGCTTTTGGGCACCCCTGGAAGCTCAGAGTGTCCTGCCATGAATGAACAGAGGGCCAGGACAGGAATGGATGGACAGGGCAGGAAAAGGTAAGATTTTTTTTTACCTCCCCCCGCCCTTTGCAAAAGGGAGCCCTGTCCTGCTGGCTTGGGGACTGGGTCATTTGCAGGATAAAATGTCATAAATGAGGTGGCGGAGGTTAGGGCTAGGACTGGGTCCGGTTAATGTTTTGATGGAAAAACTAAAGAAAAATAAGTCATTTTGTGTGTGTGGATGGTGTTGCCTCTTCCCTGATGTCCCGCGGGGTTGGGAGCTCAGGGCTGGACCCCCCTGCACCGGGGTGGGAGGAGGATGGGCTTGTGCCATCTTCCCATTTACAGCCAGCCGGGCTGCAAACCCACATCTTGGGGTGCCAGAGAAGCAAACCCCAATCTGAAAACAACCTGAGGTCTTCAGGGGTTTGAACGGTTGCGGCTTCGGCTGAAGCGGGGCCGGGCAGTGCCCTGGGGCACCGGCCCCTCCTGGGGTGGCTGGCCTCTGCTGGGGGGGGGCAAAAAGAAGAATTTCAGGGCAAAATCAGGAATTTTGGGGCACCCCCTCCCTGTTTTAGCTAACTTCCCCCTAGCAGGGGGAGGCAGGCGGTTACCAGGTTTCCCACTGGAGGTGCTCTGGTGCCGGTATTTGCTTTGGGGAGTCACGTATGTGCGGGCGGGGGGTGTGTGTGTGTTATTTTAAACCGCCATCGCTGTCGAAGCAAGCCTGCCTTTACTTCGTCACCTAAATCATTTCCATCACCTTCACAGCCCCTCTCCCAGACCCCGGTTTGGCGGCCGGGGGGG